TGCTGCTGATCTGTTTCATGTTGCTGCTGATCTGTTTCATGTTGCTGCTGATCTGTTTTATGTTGTTGTGTTCATTCGTGCTCATCTGTTCACACAGACTCATGTTTGTGCTGATGTTCGGTGTATTGTTTTGTACTACTAGTGCTTAGCGTATTTTTAGTTAATGTTTTTGTTAGATCATATCTTAGTTCTTGGGTGTACAGGTTTGGGTGTACTTAGTATGTACAGGTTTTATCATCATTGCTATAGTAATATAAGTTCATAATATAAATAGAATTAAGCTCATTATTTGAATAGTCTTAAATATTCCTATTATTAAAGGTCCTAATATTGCACCTTAACACATACTGTATAGCATTTCACCATCTCAATGTACCTTAAATGCTTCATTGTTAACAGGTGCAAGAGGCTTATTTTCATTCTCCAGATCAATACAAATGCAGGTGTTCAGAAATAGTGCAACACCATCAGTGACATTTAGTATATAAAAATATTAATGTTTGATAATTATTTTTTCTATAAGCATATTCAAATAAATGTCGCAATCACAGAGTCCAGTACAGTAACCTGGAGGCTAGCACTAGCATGCTAACTCCACAAACAAACACAGAAACAAACTCACCAGTTCCCACTTTGAGAATACACAGTCAGCTGAAGGTTTTTTCACAAACAGAGACATCTTAAAGTTGAGAGGCGTATAATAATAATAATAATAATGTCATCACAATGTCAGCACTGTATGTTGCCATGGTATCAGTCAGAAATGGCAACTGTGCATTAGATAAAGAGCTTTCAATGGCTTAAAGCATACCTGCAGCCAGCCTGGTTGTGAGTGTCACAGCACGGATCTGTTCCCGGACAAAAAAAACAAAACTGTTCCAAACTGGAAGCACGATCGGTATCGAGTGGTACCGATCGCGCTCGACTGTGAGCTCAGGCACATTTGTCTGTGCCCAGAATCTTCATATCTCTTGTATTGAAGAGGAGCTAGTACGCATGTCCAATTTTTAACAATAGTCTATGGGCAAAGATTCTTGTGACCCCAGGGGACGGAAATACGTCACCAAACTGACGTTTTTGAAAGAAACAACTTAACTCATCATTAACTATAAAATATTTATCTTACACGACAAAAATATATATACATATATTTAGAAATATTTTTGTTTTATTATTTTTTATTTTTTTATTTTTTTTGAGTCTTCAATGTAATATGGTGAGGTTTGAGTGTTGGGGCAGCACCCTAGCACCCTCTATTGATGAGCCGCCACTGGCCAATACTGATGTTGGGAAGGGAAGGCGATGCCGATAACCAGTATAATGACTGAAAATCTTTGAGCTTTGTCCACGCCCAAGAATCTACAAAAACAGCGAATGGAGTGGGGCTTGTTTATTTAGCGCAGCTGTTAGCAACCATGAAGCTAAACTAATGAGATCCAGGTTATACTTAGACCCACAGAAGGTTTACAAGTGGTGCACTGTTCATAAAAACAGTTGTTCATATTTTCTATCCTCCACTATTCACCATAAAGTTAACAAGTGTGTTACATAAATATAAATTAAACAAAGAAACGTCCTTCCCTGTTCATTATTTTATTTATTTATTAACCTTTATTTAACAAGGCAAATCCCACAGAGATCACAGATCTCTTTTGCAAGGGAGGCCTGGACCTAAGGCAGTCTAACATGCATGTTTTTGGTCTGTGGGAGGAAACCGGAGTACCTGGAGAAAACCCACGCAAGCACGAACATGCAAACTCCACACAGAAAGACCCCAGGTCCAAGTGGGGATTGAACACAGGACCTTTTTGCTGTGAGTCAACAGTGCTAACCACTGAGTCACTGTTTAAACAGTCAGTCATGTATGGTGAAAGTCTAATTAGTATTGACCACAGTAGAGTTTTATTTTCTTAGCAGAGAAGTAAAGATTTCAGACAAACAATGCATTTCATTGAGGACAGCAAAGAAAACGTTACGAACACTGATATATATTTAGTGCTATATTAGATTTATTGTTCTGGATAAAGTTTTACAAGGCATTAGCCTATGCTAGGATATCTAAACGTTAGCTTACTAACTTGAGAGGCACGTAGTTAATGACAAGTGGGTTGGAGAATTGAAGGGAATTTATTATTGTTGATTTGTTTTACAGATCAGTTCAAATAAACTTACCATACACTACACAGTATCGCTCGCTGCTTCGGCTGTGCTGAAAGTGAAACTTAAGTAAACGGCAATGACTTGAAAGTAGTCTTCATGCGCACTCTGTAGGATAAATTGTACAATTACCAATTACGTCTGATTCCAGCGTTTTAGGGGTGAACATTAGAAGTGCATAATGGGACAATTATCACTGATACCGATAGGTCCCCAACCATTTATATCAACTTAAAATACCAGCCCTATTGATAGATCAGTCGGGCTCTAGGTAAGATTACACATAAAGCTGTGTGGGAACGAGACACATCTAGTTTGCATACACCTCTCATTTAACCCCTTCAAGAATTGTTTTTAAAGGATCATTTTTCTTTAAGGAGCTGTAACCTCCGTGTGCTTTGTAAAGTGTGTGATGCTTTTACAATAATTTGGTTTTTCTTCTTGACTTTCCTCAGGTTTATCAAAGGCTTCATGTATCGCCACAAAGATCGCTGTCCAGAGAACGAATATTTCCTGGATTATGTGCGCTACTCCTTCCTGATGAATCTGCACCGGAACCTGCCCAAGAACGTCCTGGACAAGAGCTGGCCAACACCTCCAGCTGCTCTAACTGAGGTGGGAATCTGAAATAATCTGAGTTTAGACTGAATGAAAAAGCTAACATTGATTCTTGTATTGATTGTTCTTTATTACAAATAGCATGAACCCAAGAAATGTCACGTTTGTTGCAATATGTCGTTTCCAGTTGGGGCAGTAAACAATTTACCGTAGTACAGTTCTTCTCAATTATTTTCTGTTACGCCCCCCTAGGGAGAAGTAAACATTTCACGCCACCCTCTAACTCTCCACCGCAACTGTAAATAGTATCATTTGTCTATAAAATTGTTATACATGCACTTCTGCATAACATTGTGTCCTTATTAACATTAAATTTAAAAAAAAGAAATATAGATCAACTTACAATGAAGAATAACTGTATTAACATTATTTTATAGTCTGTAACAGAAACAACTTAAAGTGCATCAATTTGCCTGAAAAAACAAATCCTTTTTTAAACTGTAAACATTTTTGACCATTTGATACTGAAAAATCAAATTAAATATAATCAATAAATAATAATAAATTCAAATTGATCAGCAACATTTTAATTCAGGAGTGTTGAATAAAACACTTTGATCTACAAAAAACAATAATGAATAAAACAATTTG